AAATATGTACCCACAGAAATAGCTCCTAAGTATGAATTTTTTTTCTTCCTGCTGTCTGACTGAAAAGATAGAATTTGGCAAGAGTATAAAGACCAGGATTAAGCTCCTCCACAAACAGGAGCATGCTCACAACCATGTATTTTATCTATTGACTCCAGATCAGTGATTCTCAACCAAGAGAGATTTGGTCCCCAACCCCAGCTCCAACCAGGGGACAGATGCAATGTCTGAAGACATTTTGGTTGTCACACTGGGAGCTTGCTACTGGCATCTAATGGGTAAAGGCCAGAGATGCTGCTAAACATCCTACAATGCACAGGAACCCACCGCCCCCCAACAAATAATTATCTGGCTAAAAATGTCAATTTTGACAAGGTTGAGTAAGCATGCCCTAAAATTACACATTTCCATATCAGTGAAGCAAAACAGTGGAAGAAGACAGGTTCATATTCCTATTACTATCCCCTGCCTCCAAAATCTAGAATTAAAAGAGAATTATGATGATCTATTCACAGTTTATATATATGGTATATAAACTGTGGAAGGACATAGGACAGAAAAAAATAGGGGGCATTTTAGGCAACTGAGCTCCTAGAAGGAAAGCACATTTTAGATATTTTCATTTCCATTGTAGCCAATGTTAGCATCTGCAATGGGTTTTAACTGTCCAAGCAGATGGGTAATTGGAACTGAAGACTACAAAATCTACACCAATTCCAGGATTAAAATTTCCTGAGAGCTAAATGAATTTTAGATACAAGACTTCCAGTAACTTTAATAAGCATCATAACTCTCATGGATGTTTTTTAAGGGGGTCAGAAAGTTGCAACCTGATGTATCTTTAGAAGAAGTGACCAGGCCTAGTCTTTACAGAGAACATTTTAACAGTAAAAGGCAAATGGAACTATTTCAACATCAAAGGGACAATTCAGAAGAAGTAGTCACTAGGTCCGGTGATGGACATACCTAAATGAGAAAAAGATACCCAGGGAAGATGATTTTCCATTACCTGTACAACTATATGTGCATTACAGCATAACCTTTACTAAAGTGAATATTTGAATGTCTGCTTCCAAATGCAAAGGCAAAAACAAAACTGTTCAAGCTAATATTTTAAGAATACATTTGGAGCTCAAGTTTTTTTGAGAAGGCTTTTCATTGAAGGTTATTAGCTAATTGGTTGAGATTTTGGCCAAACCA